AGTTGGACCAAAGCTCCCAACATTTGTGACCATTGGCCATGCTGACTGGGGTTGATGGGAATTGAAATCCAACAATTTAAGGAGCGCTCCATCACTTGTCTACACCATGAATCATCTTCTAACATGTGGTCATCATTCCACCCTCCCTTAGTTGTATCTTATCTGTTGTTGTTGTTTAGTCATTTAGTCATGTCCGACTCTTTGTGACCCCATGGACCAGAGCACGCCAGGCACTCCTGTCTTCCACTGCCTCCCGCAGTTTGGTCAAACTCATGCTGGTAGCTTCGAGAACACTATCCAACCATCTCGTCCTCTGTCATCCCCTTCTCCTTGTGCCCTCCATATTTCCCAACATCAGGGTCTTTTCCAGGGAGTCTTCTCTTCTCATGAGGTGGCCAAAGTACTGGAGCCTCAGCTTCAGGATCTGTCCTTCCAGTGAGCACTCAGGGCTGATTTCCTTAAGAATGGAGAGATTTGATCTTCTTGCAGTCCATGGGACTCTCAAGAGTCTCCTCCAGCACCATAATTCAAAAGGATCAATTCTTCGGCGATCAGCCTTCTTTATGGTCCAGCTCTCACTTCCATACATCACTACTGGGAAAACCATAGCTTTTACCATACGGACCTTTGTTGGCAAGGTGATGTCTCTGCTTTTTAAGATGCTGTCTAGGTTTGCCATCGCCTTTCTCCCAAGAAGCAGGCGTATTTCAATTTCATGGCTGCTGTCACCATCTGCAGTGATCATGGAGCCCAAGAAAGTAAAATCTCTCACTGCCTCCATTTCTTCCCCTTCTATTTGCTTATCTGTACTAAGCTCCAAATGCTTTAGTCTTGCAATCCTCTGGTCCAAAGAAAGCACAGGAAGCTTCTGTGAATGCAGCAGGATATGAACCTTCCAACACTGGCTCCATTGACCAACAAGCCACTCTTGAAATTTGAGGGACTCCCAGAAACAGTCTCTGATGAGCTGTGCCTAGAGAAAACTACGGAAGTCATGACACACATAGAAAAGTCACACATATGCAGTTGTTTGGTAGGCCTGGTAGAAATTCCCACGTCCAGAATTTCTGGGTGTGATCAAGGACTTGTATTGACATACCTCCGGCTGAGCTGGGATGAGGGACTAAGTTTAGCAAAAGACCTGCCTATTCCAAATTCCTCTTATTTCAACTGATCTTCGATTTTTATTGCTCTGTAAATTGGAATACTGGACTGCCCAATATAAGAGCATGATGCCAAATTTTATGCTGATTAATTAGAATGGTTACAAGTGACAGCTAAAAGGGCAAATGACCAATGAGGGGAATCACCTTAAGGAAGAAGTACAATGAAGACCAGACATCAATGCGGAGTCAAAGGAATACTGGTTTGATACCTGGCTGGCAGAACATGGTGATATGGAGTCTGCTATTCCCATGTTTTATTATGTCAGGCTTCTCAAGTTCAGTGATTCTTAGCACAATGTTTTTTTAAAAAAATCAACTATCACTTTCCTTCCAACGCCTGCAAATGTACTTATTTTTCTTCTTTCCAGTCTTCACATCACTGGTAGACTTCTGGTGGCTTTGCACATAATGCACCAAACGTGCATTTCAGTTGTTTACTTTTAATGTATGGGACTGCTCACCACACACAACTGCCTGTGTAAAACACTTGCTTCCAAAAATGAGTACATGCCACTTAAAAACTCCACAAATCCCACCAAAACAAATTGGAAGGTGTTCCCTTCCAAATGCAAATAGCCTGTGTTTTTTAAATATATATATATATAACCCCATGATTGCGATGTTGAAGGTAGTCACTATCTGAGTTTCAAAATATTTGTTCTCTCTCCTGCCTTGTCCTTTATCTCTCAGGTCTCCATACGTCACTAAAGCAACATTCACTACTCACAGCCAGGGCTGCCTTGGTGAATGTGTTCCACTGTTATTAATGGAAGCAAACTCTGTTCCCCTGTATTAAAAATACACCTTCCTCTAAATATAGGCAATCTCTGTGTGTCTAGCTACTACAATGGGAGAACTGAAAGGGACCAAAATATTGACATCCACTGGGTGTTGATAATTTGTTTTGGTTCATGCTCTCTTCCTGGGTATTATCTACACCTTCGTGGAAAATCTGTTATTATTTAGCAGGAGGAATGTGCAAGGCGTTGTTTAGATGTGGGGTTGTTAGATGGAGTTTCCTCTGTTTGTTTTTCCATGCTCTGTCCAAGCCATGTCAATGAGAAAAGCGTTTACTGAGCTATTTATAACCTCACTTCTCTCCCTCTCCCTCCTTCCTTCCCTTTCCCCCTGCATGGCTGTACCTTTTTCATCCACATTGCAGAAAGATGGCATCGCTAGCCTGTGAGGGGAGGGCTTCTGGGGACATGGTTTGCCTAGTGTGCAGTATGGGGAGAAGTGGGGGGGATGAGGACAGACTGTACCTGACAAAAGAAATTGGGGAGAAGCAGGCACTTGGTAGTCAGGGAAATAATAAAGAATCAGGGAGAGAGAAAATCTGGGGAAAGAGAGAATAGCAGAGGGAAGCATGACGACCTGGCATTAAAAGGATGTGGAAGCTCCATGTTCATTCAAACATTGTCATGAATGACTCCGTATCTCATTCACTGCCAGCTCTCCACTCTTCTCTCCGCTCCTAGTTTGCAATTTCTTAGCATGTTTTGTGTGACTGTATGAATGGGTGTGGTAACAGGAAGAGGGATACTTGATTCACTGATTTGCTTGCGCTGCTGTCAGGGTTGTTGTTTTTAAACCAGGGCAACACAAAGCAGTTGGGGCAACCAGCCTCTGAAGATATAGAGATGAGACCTTAGTGCAGTTTGCAGGGCGCATAGTGTTAAGTAAAGGTAAAGGTACCCCTGACCATTAGGTCCAGTCATGGACAACTCTGGGGTTGCGCCCTCATCTCGCTCTATAGGCCAAGGGAGCTGGTGTTTGTCCACAGACAGCTTCCGGGTCATGTGGCCAGCATGACTAAGCTGCTTCTGGCGAACCAGAGCAGCGCACGGAAACACCATTTACCTTCCCACCGAAGCGGTACCTATTTATCTACTTGCACTTGATGTGCTTTCGAACTGCTAGATGGGCAGGAGCTGGGACCGAACAGCGTCACAGGTATTCGAACAGCCAACCTTCTGATCGGCAAGCCCTAGGCTCTGTGGTTTAGACCACAGCACCACCCGTGTCCCTACAGTGTTAGGTAAGCACATGTTAAATTAGATCTATGTCCGCCTCACCTGCTCTATGCAGGGTATGTATATATTGTTGCATGCAACCCAAATTTCCGAGCGGTGTGAGATTCCAGCAGTTCTAGGTGCTTACTCAGGGTTCAGTTTCCTCAGACTGACATACGGTTTATTTACACACAGAGCCTAGGACTTGCCGATCAGAAGGTCGACGGTTTGAATCCCCGTGACGGGGTGAGCTCCCGTTGCTCGGTCCCTGCTCCTGCCAACCTAGAAGTTCGAAAGCACTTCAAAGTGCAAGTAGATAAATAGGTACCACTCCGGCGGGAAGGTAAACGGCGTTTCCGTGCGCTGCTCTGGTTCGCCAGAAGCGGCTTAGTCATGCTGGCCACATGACCCGGAAGCTGTACGCCGGCTCCCTCGGCCAGTAAAGCAAGATGAGTGCCGCAACCCCAGAGTCGGTTACGACTGGACCTAATGGTCAGGGGTCCCTTTACCTTTACCACCTGAGCCTAAGATGGAGGGGCTCACAATGTTACCATCCCAATAATGTCTTGTTGCTCCCACAGCCACAGCCTCAGCAGAAATCAGGCATGGCTGTCTCTCAACTGCCCAGCCTACAGCCTGCTTCTAGCTTACATACACCACTATGCTCTAGTCTTTGTCCTGGATGGGGGCCCCATCCATTTGACGTCTGGCACAGAGCGACTTCTTTTGTTATCTAAGGACCTATACATAGGAGGCATTATGGCCCTTGCCTGGCTAATTCAACAATTGAATCCTTGCTCAATTGAATCCAGGAATTAGAAGGGACTCAAATATACTGCCCACCCCACCCCAACCCCACAGCAATATGCCTTGTCTTGTGCACATATGTCAAAATAAAGAGGCTAATGTATGAATATGTTTTTCTGATTTTATACATGCAGGTCTTATTTTAAAGCACAGGGGAAGGACCTATAATAAATATCCATGCGTGCATGCTGCCAATCTGACTGGGTTGCCCCAACCACTCTGGGCGGCTTCCAACAATTTATAAAACCACATCAAACATTAAAAACTTCCTTATATAGGGAGGGTAGTACCTATGACCCTCTAGATGTTGTTGGGCTCCAAATCTCATCAGCACCAGCCAGGATGACCAATGGATGAGAGCTGTAGTCCAACAACATCTGGAGAACCACAGGTTCACCACCCATGGCTTATAGGGACAGATGAAGCTACCTTGCACAGAGCCAGACTACAGATCAATGTCTGTTACTGTCTACTTCTGCATGGGTTCTTTTTATAAACGAGCTATACCTGAGGATTGAATCACAGAATCATAAGGGACCCCAAGGGTCATCTAGTCCAACCCCCTGCAATGCAAGAATCTTTTGCCCAACATGGGGCTCAAACCCACAGCCCTGAGATTAAGAATCTCATGCTCTACCAACTGAGCTACCAAGGCAACTTCGAATGTTCTACATGTGCTCTGTCATTATGGTTTTGAGCCAGGGCCTACCTCAGCAACCTGTTTTCAGCACCAGAGTTTAGCTCTTGGACATGTGAAGCAGTCATAGTGTGCCTCTGACCATATTCAGAGTGCTTTCACCACAGAGCAACCTAACCACAAATAGCCACACATGATAGAAATCAGTCAGATAACGACTCCTAAACAGGATTGACCCTGGCCCCACCACTTCTTCATTTTAGAAATTAAAATGTGGAGAATGTAGACATCACAGAGTGATATATGCACTGTACTTATATACAGGCATGTGTTTATCTATAAACATACAAACACCTACATCTATATATTATATATTACCAATTCTCTTTCCTGGTCATGCTTCATAATCAGCAACAACGCCGGGCACCTTCTCTATGGCTACTCCCTCCATTTGCAGATAGACCCTGTGTTGAGAGCAGTGGAACCATCTCGTCGGTTGCTATGCCATCCTCCTAGGACATCAGGTTTGGGCAAGTGCTGTCAGGTATTGCCTGCTTGTTCTGTTCGGAAGCTGTGGTAAGTTGTGTGTGTAAACAAAAATATGGGGGCTCACACCCTGTATCCTAATATAATGTAGTCATCGCCCTTCTGGGTTATATTGACAGAAATCGTAATGAGCCCATTCTGAGTCAAACACAGCTGAGAATTATAGAATTATAAGGGGGAAAGCAGCTTGTTCCCCCAGCCCAAGGTGCCCCCTTGATCCCTGCGCCCATCTTCCTCATGGAACTATTATGGCTGCAAGGCTGTTCCACCCCAAATTTCCACCCACCTCTATGAATGCTTTTCCCACCCCATGTGCACAGAAGGCCACACTCCAGAATATCCCAAGGCTGAGTGACCTTGTCTCTGGGTCCAAATGGTGGGCCACCAGTATTGCACTCTGGGCACGGACTTGACCCTCCCTAGCTCCAGGGATGCCTTGTCTATGGGGCACATCTCTTAGCAATGAAGTGCACAAACCAGCCTCGCAGTTTGTTCCTGGCCACGAGTGATCCTTCTTTCAAATCATCCTGCATTTAGGTCTGAGGAGGTATATGCCAACCCCGTCACAACAAACGCTTTTAAAATTTCGTTGTGGGGTTTGGCGAGGGTTAATATTTGCTTTTCCTGCAGAAGCTTTGTTTTTGCCATTTAAGCTTTGCCATATCCCAGAGGGGGGCCTTTAGCCATTGCTTTCCCCCTCCCCGGAAACTTCAAAGGGCACGTCTGCGTGTCCCGCGATGTGCTTAAAATTCGACATCGTGAGGGAAGCGCATGAATGTGCATCAATCTCTCGCACTCCCTCTCGCACGGCGGCTCTCGGCTTGCGCGGGAAGTGGGCAATTTTGGCGGGGTCCCCCGTCTTCCTGCCACTGCTGCAGGCCGAGGGATTCTGCCGGGCTGAATAAGCAGGCAGCGCGCCGCTGGCTCGCTCGAGCTGGCAGAGAGGAGGCGGCGAGCACGGGGAGGGGGGCAGAGAAGGGGGGACGGCCAGATGGAGGGCCGAAGGGAGGGGGGAGCGCTCGAGGCAGCCGCGGGAGGGAGGGAGCGAGCGGAGGAAGCGAGACACCTACGCAACCACCGAGCGAGAGGAGATCCTTGGATGCAAACACAGGCGTCCTCCTCTCCCTCCCCCCGCCTGCTGCTCACATGCCCCTGATTCATTTCCACATGCCGTACACGTGACATGCTAATTCAGGGCTACTACACAATTCCAGGGCGGTGGGAGGAGGAGGAGGAGGGGCGTGCAAAAGCGAGGCGCACGCTGCAAAGCCAAGACTGCAGCTTCCCTCGCTCGTGCGCGCAGGGGAGCTCGGCTGGCTGGCTGGGGCGCATTTTTAAAGCAGCCCCCGCAGCAGCCTGTGCCCCCGTCCGCCCCACCTCGTCAGTGTGTCTCCCTGCGAGTGCAGGCGGCGGCGGCGCCTCAGCAGCGCCCTCGCGTCTCACCCTTCGTGGGGACACGGGGTGACGGCAGACGGAGGCGCCCTTCGCCTGCGCTTCCCGGCGGCGGCAGCAGCAGTACGAGGGGGTCGGGGAAGGCGGGGCCAGCTGCTGCTGTTGCTGCCGCCGCCCGCCTCTGCCCTTCTCCTCCGAAGTTGGGAGCCTTAGAAGGGTTGATGCTATATTTAAACACAAACAAACGCACGATCTTATTCGCTAGGGAGAGGCGGGCGGGGGAAAGGGGCGCGCGGAGCGAAATACGCAAACGGGCTCAGGCCCCTCCCCGCGCTCGCCTGCAGGAGGAGAAAGAAGGGGGGCGCATGTGGAGACTGCAAGCCTCCGGCACGTTTCCCTGAGACTTGGCTCCACGGAATTCAGTGGGGCTGCCTTGCGAGGGAAAGAGAGGCGCGGCGCTGCAAAGAGAGAGGCGAAGGCTGCGGAAGGTGGCCCAGGCTGTTTGTTAAACTGAATAGATCATTTTAACCCGCGGGGAGCGGGGCTGTCTGAAAGGAAGGAGAAGGGAAATTCCTCAATGGAACGAGTCGCAGTCACCCGTAGCAACGAGTGCCTTTCATTACTATTTTAAGATCAATAAATACGCGCCTCGCTCACAAATGGCTTCGGTCCATCGGGCTGTGCCACAGATGACAGGGGGAGGAAGCAGGCAACTCTCCGCAAGAGTCCAGATACATCGCGCTTACTAATTTATTATCTTTATTAGTGGCTGCATGGTGGTCAAGGGTCTCTGGGCGATGAAAACGATATAAAACCGCGATCCAATAAAAATGAGAACAACAGCACACAAAATCCCCAGTCAGTGACAAGAGATTAAAGGGATTCCAGTCACATTCGTGTGGTCTAATAGCAAGCAATGCCTTGGTGTGTTCACAATACATCACTAATCGGTTGAAAATTGCAGAATCCAGTGATGACTTTGCGTATGTGAGGTGGCCTTCAGAAGTTTAACACCGCAGAACTCTGGCATCAGGTCAAATGCAATGTTCAATAAATCTAGAGTGCAGAAATACCAAATAATATGCATGCAGGTGTGAGTCAGCCTTGTACGCAACATATACCTGTACTGGGAAGCAGCAGCCAGGTTTGCTACATATATTCACCATAGTTGCACATTGTGAATATAGGAATTGTTTCAAACATTTTTTTTGGCATAATTTCCAGTTATGATACATATTTGGGGTCTTAATCCAAGACACATGAACCCTGCTAAAGTGACTGACTAGCATGTGTATTTCTCATCCCTCCTAGAAAAAACTTTTGATACTGCCACATTTATTGTTTCTTTGTTGTTAAGGCATGACAGGAGGTGTTCCCTTTGTCCCAACCTATCTGGCCTCAGGTAGCCTCCAGAAGAGGTTGGAGAGCTTGGTGCGCCCAAAGGCAGTGGCCCTTCCTCTGCTCAGTCCAGATCCCCAGGCTATGAGGAGAAAGCTCAGGTTGCTGGAGTAGGATAGCTCCTGCTATTAGTGTCTGAGTCAGTCAATTGCATGGAGCAGAGGAAGGGGTAATGGGAGGCCTGCTGCGATGATACCAGGCAGGGATGGCCCATCAGACAAGAGGGAGATGCCCACGTGGGTTGTTAGGGGGGAGGGTGGGCTGAAGGGTTGATTGGCAAATGCAGGAGCCAGTCACTTGATCCACACAACACTACTCCTGGAGTGGCTCAGTGAAGCTCATAGTAGGGCTTTCCTTTCCTAATGTAGAGCTTTATCGTGAATTCTAACCAGCCCCCTCCACCATGTAAAATTTTAGCTGTTCCATCACACCAGAGCTCTTCCTGTAGCTTTCCTGGTTTCTGTGACTGAGGTGGGAGAGAGGGAAGCCAAATGCCCCATGTTATGTCCAATGCCTCTCTCTCTCTCTCTCTTTTGGTCATTATTGTATTTCCTTGTGTTTTTTCCTCTTTCCTTCCCAAGCTCAGCATGCCTTGGATACAATTATCCCCCACTCTGCATTGCTGAATATAGGATGACTCTGCCATTTTGGGGGGTATGTTTGTTTTAAAATGCAGTTATTTATTACGGTTTTTGAGTAATACAATTAAAGTAACATTGAAATATAAATGGAAAATTAATGTGTATACTAAGAAGCCATCATCTGTGTTGTATTAGGGAATGATTAAGCTAGTGCATTTAATGGACACTGCGTACATTTGCCAGATGTGAGGGTTTGACTCAAATATCTATGTTTATGCTTCTTCTTTTTATACTAGTTTAAGAGCGTGCAGGCCATGAATTAGTGTTTAATGCTAGCACAGTCAGAAAACTTACCCAGGTCAAGAAACAATTGATCTCTGAGCCTCCACTAAGGATTGACTGAAAAAGTGGGTAGTATAGCCATAAAATACTAAAGATTTGCTTTTCTATTAAAAATAAAGTATTGTGGTGAAAATCTAGCATATTAGCAGGCAGGTAGACTTGTACGGCATTTCCGTGCGCTGCTGTGGTTCGCCAGAAGCAGCATAGTCATGCTGGCCACATGACCGGAAGCTGTATGCCGGCTCCCTCAGCCAGTAAAGCAAGATGAGCGCCGCAACCCCAGAGTTGTCCGCGACTGGACCTAACGGTCAGGGATCCCTTTACCTTTTTAGACTTGTACCTGTGTTCCTAATATGCAAGTTTTCAACTGAAGGAAGCATGATGTTCAAGGAGGGCATTCTAATATATGACCTTCCAGCATCAGTTGCATCTTCTGCATATTTGAACTGATCCTGAATGCAATGTAGACATGATGCAAAGCCTGCCCCCCCAACAAAAATCCTGGCTATAACCATGGGGGGCAGGCTTTTGTTAGGAGGGGGGAAACCTCAGATTTGTATTGATTTTGATTGATTGGGGGGCAGCTGCCCATGACCATGAGCTTAGCAGTAATAGATTCAGAAAAGGCAAATATAACTTTGCAGTCAGAACTTCTATCTTGGACATGGAGCCAGGCAGGTAATCAATGGAAAGGGGAGAGAAAAGGGATACATATGTCTATGACATGATTCAAATATCTGTTAAACGGAGGGCAGGAAGGCAAAGCCACATTACAAAAAGAAAGGGGTTATTCAGTTGTCTCAGCCGCCATCAACCAATGGATTTATAGAAGTGCATGCCTGCCTGCTTTAGATTGATAAGTATCTGAAAAGGTAAGAACAGTTCCATGTTCTACATCCCAATCAAATCAAGATATACAAAATGCCAGGAGGAAGGGAGATTTGAGAAGCAATTTCTGTTTTCTCTAGAACAGGGGTGGGGAACCCCAGCACCTCAATATAAGCTTCTTGCCGGTTTCATATACAACTTATTTCTGTTTTTTGTTTTGCTTCTCCTTAAATATGGCACAAGAAAGAGCCAGATCATCTTGGATTACTGAACACTAGTGTGTACTTCCATTAGGAATGTAATTGTATAAGAACTGTCCTGCAGGATCAGACCAAAAGCCCATCTAGTACTGCGTCCTATTCTCACAGTGGCCAACCAGAAACCTATGGGAAGTTCACAAGGACTTGACTGCAAGGGCATTTTCCATACTTGTGACTCCCAACAACTAGTATGCCTATGTCACGCTAGCATAGTTACTTGTGAACCCTGGACACCATGCTTAAAATCAGCCTAAAACTGCACTTTAATATGAATATACCATGATACTTCAGTGCTTCTGCCACATTCAGGCTTTCATTGTCTATTCACACATGGCAAAACTAAGCATCATGTGTGATGCTCTCCCTCCTACTAAGCAAATATATGTTCTCCTGCTCCTCATCACTCTTGCCTTGCAAAAATAAAACATAATAAAGCAGTATTCTCTCTCATTCTCTCTCTCTCTCTCTCTCTCTCTCTCTCTCTCTCTCTCTCGTGTGTGTGTGTGTGTGTGTGTTGCTACTGATCTCATTTGTATGATGCAGAATTTCTGTAGCACCAAGTGCTGATTCTCCATGGACCACAGTTAGTGACATATGCTTTCTTGATTCTCACATCCCTTTTCTTTATGTCTTGCCTATGGAACTCCAAGTAGCATCTCTCATTAGTTCAATGAGGGGCAACTCAGGACAGCTGCTGGCTTGCTTGCTGCTCCTGAAAACCTCCCAGGCACAGAAGGTAATTTCAGTTCAGTCATCGCTCAAGGTCTTCCTGGACAAGGTGGGTGTATGTGTGTATATGTCCATGTGACCAGCTACACCACCTCTGCCTCCGTGGCTCAAGAATGGGTGATTATAGCTTCTTATCCCAGTCCAGTGAAGTGGATGTCTAGCTTTCCCATTATACAGACAGTGAACCATCTATGCTTCTTATCTACAATTTAAATTAAGGCCACCCTGTTCCAGAACCAACACTCTATGCACCTTAGGACTGGCTTACCCGTGCCAGTACAACACTTGATCATTCAGTGTTTGATTAATCAGTAGTGCACTTTGAAGCAGAATATGTGGTATTGAAAAGCACATTGTTGGATATGATGAGCTCCAATAAAACACAGACCAGAACAGATAGCACCAGCCATGATCATCTGACCTAATCACAGAGAATTAAACCATCTCATGAGGGCTAAAGCACACTCTAGCCATCAGAAAAACAGAGGCTAAAATGCTAACAGGAATATTCAAATAATGTTAAAAGGCACACGGTTATGTTAAAAGGCCTGGGAGAATAAA